GAGAAAGAAACGCAAGACAGAAGAAGGCAACTGGAGAAGCGAACCCCACCCTGAGGGTGAGGCAGGAAGCACCTGCGGCCCTTTCCAGTCTCCCACTGCTTCTCATGCAAGTGGCTGCTGGTTAGCTGTCCGCCGGGTCCTGCTGGGCTGCTTCTCAACTGCATGCTGGAGCAGGACACGTTGTATGATAAACACGTCAAGAAACCCAGCAAATCAGTTCGTCCCCCTATGGGAGGCCAGCAATCTGGGCAATGAGCGGAAGTCCCCAGCTGCTTTCTGTGCCCTATTTTCAAATTATCTCTTTGACCTCATGCTTTTCCAAGGGCAGACCAGCTTATTCTTTCTGTATTAAAACCTGGAAAATGTGGCAAACCATCCAGATCCTAGGGTGCTCTGGGTCAGACGCTGTGGAGCCGGGCACTCACAAGTGGGGTCCTCGCTGCTGCGAATGTCCTCCTGTAGGCTTCTCTCCCTGTCCTGCACCAAGCCTGTGGCACCTCCCAGTAGATGTTCCCATCCTGGCCCTGTGATGTCCCTTTTAGCAGGTCTTTCCGCAAAATCCACCGTCCAGCCCTGTATTCCGCACACCACTTGTGGCTGTCTCCCTGGACCAGGCCTTCCAGCACCCCCTCCGCTCCTGTTCTGTCTAACTTCTGTGTCTCCTCACTGGGACATCGGCTCTTTTCACCGCTGAGCACCAGCAGGATACAGGGTGGTGGCACAGGTGGCGGCAAGCACAAGATGGTGACCAGAGCTCCAGGCCATGGTCATTGGCTCCATCCTCCAGTTTCCGTTGCTGGTGCTATTCATAAAGTTCATCATCTGGCTCTGAAAACCCTTTCCTCATTTAATTATCATTATAATGTGACCGTTAATAAAAAAAGAAACATTTTATGAAATGAAATGAAATAATGACATAATAAACGTCTTAATGCAGAGGACTCTGCCGGACAACTCCATACATATCTCCTGGGTGTCATCCCAGGCCTGAGCCTGGGGCGTCCAGCTGCTGTCCCTGGAGACCCAGCAGCAGGTGAACCCCACAGTCCAGCTCACAGCCCTCTTCCTAGGCTGCCACACCCCATGCAGGCTGTGTGGATGTGGATTCGGGAGGTGGGCTGTGATCCTACATTTGTTCACTTCCATCTGAGTCCCTATGGACAGAATGCAGAGTCAGGCTTTGGGCCTTGGTCTTGAAGCTGGACGGTCAGTGTCCACTCCTGTGCCCTGCACACCCCCGTCTCTTCCAGGCATTGCCCCCTCTGTTCTCATTTATGTGGAGGTCACAGTTTCTCCCCTCGCAGGCTCATGGTGCAGGTTAAATATGAGCCAGTGCGATTGCCTCGCAGATGGGGCTGTTTCTGCCTCCAGGTCACTTGGAAGCCTCCAAGTTTGTACCTACGTGGGTGGGCGCTGCCTCCATGCCCATCCCCCCTCTCTGAGACCCGAGCACAGAACTCCTGGCTCAGGGGTCACAGCAGGCAGTGTGTGCCTGGTTCCACCCCACTTGGTCCAGCCAGCCACCGGCCTGCCAGGGATGCCACTGTGGCCCTCTGTCACAGGCAGAGGTGGGGACAGAAAACCTGTGACCCCTGCAAGGGACTGGGGACAGTGCAGGGGCCCACATGGCACCCAGAGGAGGGTGCAGCGGCAAGTGCCCAACAGCACCAGCTGAACCCTCAGCAAGCAGGTGTTGCCGCGGCTCTGTCCTCTGGAAAAAGCCCCTGGGGTCTGCGGCTCTACAGTTCCCTGCATTTACAGGTGGTTGTCCAGAGGTCCCACAGGCCACTGTCCCTGTACCCTAGTAGCTCCTGAAGCCTCCTGGGACTCCTCTGATTCATGGGAATGACCTCCATACCTGTTAGCATTGGGAAATGGGCACAGAAGTACGGCCTGCTGAAGATGACAGGACCCAAACACCCAGGCCTTCCCAATTCCCATCACTGCTGGTCTAACCAAGCTGCCGTGCGGGCTTGCTCTGTTCTCTGGAAGGGCTGTACCTGTTTCTTACCCATTGGTGTTTTGACAAAGGGCAGATGTAGCATAGCACCCAGTGGGCAGCTGTGATGAAAGGAAAATCCCAACATCACTCTGGGCAGTGAAAGGTTCCTAGGGATAGCAGGTGGTCTCATGGCCAGGCAGGCACTCCGGTTGTTACCTCCTCTGGGCCCTACAATTTGTGCCCCAGGGACTAAAAGAGGCCTGGGAGGGAGTGCCAACTCTCCCTCCTGCCTGGCTCAGAATGGGCAGTGCTGATTGAATTTGGCTGATTTTCTGTTGTGTCTGCTGGCTTCCTGCCACTCAGTCTTGGGGTGCTGCCCCTGCTGGGTGGCTGGGCTCCTGCATCTGCATGTGGGCTGCGGGTTCAAGCAGGGACCCATGGCCCAGCCCCGCTGCAGACCTAGAGGGGAGATGAGTTCCTTATGAAATGCGGCCTTCCTGTGTTGTGTGCAGGGAGGGAATCTGTTCTCTAGCACAGTAGAGGGCGACTGGGGTCCTGGGGAGCTGTCATCCCCTTCCTGTCATGCAGACCGCCCCTCCGAAACACGCAGTGTCCTGAGGTTCACCCCTGAAAAGTGAGCTCAGAAGCCTGCAAGAGGTGCTTTGCTTTTGCTGCTTCACAAATAATGAAAGTCCCCTTGACCACCGCAGGAACAATGTCATGAGTCATCAGACACAGTCTCTGAGGCTGTACCATGCTGAGAATGAAATCACCTCCCAAGAAAGAGAACCCGAGCACCAGCCTTGCCACAGCAGCCCTCGTTCTGTTGTAATTGCGATCTTCAGGACAAAGGTGCTGTCCACTGTGTACCTGGCTCTTAAGAGCGTGGCATCAGCCAAGAGAGGACACACGGGGCAGCAGAGACCACAGAGGGCAGTGGCCAGGGTGCAGCCTCTTCAACCCTCCCCATTCAGCATCTGCCAGTGTGCACGGAGCCCACGGCCACCTCCCGGACAAGCAGCACCTCTCCTCGTGGAAACCAAAATAGAAATATCCGCCGTGCTCCTGAGTTTGGAAATCCAAATCTAGCAAGTTCGTATGCCTATCCTCACACTTGTAGACAACTGGGGACTGGGTATAGGAGGGAGGTGTGGGTACCGTAGCTGCCACCATTCAGTTATGGGAAAGTCCGTGGCCATGCTTGGGCCAGGCTGGGAGCAGGAACATCTCTCCAGGGACTTGACCTCCCCTTTGGCATGAAACTGTTCCTGCTTATTTGAGGTTCAGCTCACCATGAGAATCTATCCATCCACCCACCCATCTACCCATACACAATTGACCCTTCTACTCAATTATCATCCACCCATCCACCCACCCATCTAATCACTCATGCATCCACCCTCCCATTCCTCCATCCATTTACACAGCCACTTGTCTACCCATCCGCTTACTCACCCCTCCACCATTCATCTATTTAGGTACCCAAACACTTATTGTATTTTTAAAAATGTATTTAGTACAGGGTCTCACTACACAGCTGGGACTCATAGTGATCCTACTGTTTTTAGCTTCCCCAGCACTGGGATTATAGGCTTGTGTCACCATACCTGGTCTCAGTGGCTAGCTTAGTGTGCCCAGGGGTGGGGCTGGTGTAGCATGTGGTGCTGGTGATCAAATCTTGGTTCCTGCACTTGCCTAAGCAGGTGCTTAGTCTGCTGAGTTATCTTGTCAACCCCAACCACTCATTCTTTTAATCTGCCATCCACCTGTCCATCACCCAACCACTCAGCCATCTGTCCATCCACTCATCCACCCATCCCCCAACCCCCATCCACCCATCTACCACCCATCCATCCATCCATCCATCCATCCATCCATCCACCATCTACCTATCCACCATTCACTCATCCACACATCCACCCATCCACCATCCACTCATCCACCATGGAGAAGGACTTGTGGCCTCCATCATGGTACACATTCACAAAGAGGAGCCCAGACAGACTAACGAGGCTGCTGTGGGGCCTGGAAAACAGAGTCCCTTGCCACACCAGGAGCCATTCTCCTCTTGCCTGTCTCTAATAAAGTGCTGCCCTCAGCACGGCCACAGCCATTCTGGCTCCTGGCTCCTCCTGGGACTGCCAGGAAAGTGGCCAGGCATCATCCAAGATGTGCAGTGGGAAAGAAATGGTTTAAGGCTTCTCCGCCCATCTAGCCACGGCCACCTGCACAGAAGCCAATGAGAAAACTGCTATGCCAGCTAGGACATGAATTTGCAGCCTGCAGGAGAACCTACTAGTGCTGACCGGCTTTAGCTTCAGCCCCAGAGCCCTCAGAGCAGAGGGACCCATGAGCAAGCACCTGGGGCTGTTTTCCCCTGCACCTGCATCCACAGGGACCCCAGGCCTGTGCCCATGTGGGGCTGCCTCCCCTGTTCTGGCTGAGATGATGGTAGACGATGAGTTGAGGCTGCAATTTCATGCTTCACTGGCAAGCAAAGACATCTGCTTTGAGGAATAAGAATACAGAGACACAGGCTCCTGAATGCAGGCTCATCCTTCACTAGAGGACGAAATCAGTGGAGGCTCCTTGGGGGACAACCTTGGGATCACCCAGGGGAGTGTGTGGTGGAGAAGGCAGAGCTCACTGGCCCAGGATAGAACTATGCTGGCACTTTACTTTCTCTGGGTTGGGGACCCAACTGCCACAGGGCCACTTATATGCACAAGCTTTCTTTGAGGACAGGGATACCTCTCTCCTCCCTCCCTAGGACATCTCTATCAGGCATTTGCTTTCTGCCCCAGGCCTGAAGGTTGGGTCCCCAGAGGCTCTGGCCTCTGCCAAGCAAACTGTATCCCCATCACACAGACCCCTCCCTGAAGGACAGCATGTCCAGGTGAAGGACAGTGTGCCCAGGCCCACTTGCTTGGCCTGGTGCAATCCCCTCCTATCCCCCAGTCCCTTGAGCTGACCACTGCCTGGACTGGCTGTGCCACATCCACAGCACCGCATCCACAGTGCCACTGTGTGTTGGCTGCTGGGTGGATGGAAGCCTTACCTCATGGGACAGGTAGAAGGCGGCGATGCCCAGCGGCCAGAAGCAGCAGAGCATGGAGAAGACGCTGAGCCCCAGGTGGTCCCGCGGTGGCATCATGAGGAAGTTGTCCTCACTCTCTGTGTCACTGGAGTAGTCGCTCTGCAGAGAGTGGAGAGAGGGAGATTAGTACAGGGCTGCCTGGTGGAAGACCTAAGATGCCTTTGACGAGCGATGGCTTGTTCTAAATGGAAGAGCCTCATGTGTCAAAAATCTTTGGGCTCCTGGGCTAGGATGGTGGGAATAAAGCTATTACCTATAGGGTCTGGGACAGGGACTTCCAGGGGCCTTGTGCAGCATGGGTTAGGGTTTTTTACTGTAACTTCCTACTGATTTATAGAACACAGCGGGGCTGGTGTGGACAGAAGATCACTGTCCCTGATTTGCTTCAAACTGCCTGAATCTGAGCCATGACAGATCCTGGCATCCACTATTGTTCGGGCTCCATCCTGATGAACCACTGCTGCTTTGGAAGAAGCTGCCTTTAGGTGTGGCTCTGCTTCCCTGTGGCCGGTCACTTGTAGGGCTCAGCCTGGGCATGAGCCCCTGTCTCCTGGGGACTCTGGTGTGTGAGACCCGGGGGGATGGCTCTGAGGGTTCCCTGTATCACACTGCTGATTTCCTACAGGGATAGAGTCACTGCCTACCAGGTGACATTTCCCAGGACACGCAACCACCTCCTCCTTGGAAGGCCAGGAGCACTAATGCCTGTGCTGACCCTGGCCCTGGGGATGCCGAGGACATGCGCGGCGCTCAGCTGTGGAGAGATCTGTGTCCTCTCCACCCTGCTGCCCTCCAGCCACTGACTCACAGACAGAAAGTTCACAGGGATGGGCTTATTTCCTAGCTTTGCAAATTAAATGCACAGTCTGTCAGCCGTGGCCTCTGGTCACCATGAGGACAGCCTGTGCTGTGTGGAACCAATGCCATGTGGACCCAGCATGGGTCTAGGGCAGGAACAGTGCTCACTATGGGTCCCTCGACCCTAAGTGGGGACTTCAGTGCCCTGGGATGAGAGCTGTCAATCCTGCCCACGCTGCTGCCCCACAGACCTGCAGTCTGAGTCTGACACTCCACTCCACAGGGAGGGGACAAGGGAAGGAGAGGCTGAGGCCTCAGGCCATTGCGAGGCAGCCACTTATGCCCCCTGGGGGATACAACTCTTGTTGTGCCCAGGTATGAGTCTGCTAATGTCCCGTCCATGTGTGGGGACAACTCAGCATTCTGTCCCCAGAGCCACATCTGTGAGGTCTTCGTTCCTCTACTATGCACGTGGTCTCCCATGTGGCCTCAGATGCAGCAACAGGAAATGACAATTACTGTCATTATGGCCCTCAGGGATGGAAAACAAAACCGCTCTGGGATGCACAATTCCGGGGAGCTGTGCAGGCTGTGAGCTCCCCATGTGGGAGCTGTAACAGCTCACGGGGTGGAGGAGTGCAGGGCCAAGCTGAGTGGCCCTCCTCCTGCTGAACCTTCCCTTACAAACCCTGTCTCTTTAGCTCTCTGGCCCGGCAGAGACAGTGCTGGCAGATCCACCAGGATGTGCTTCAGAGAGGCCCTGGATTTGGGGTCTCCAGGTCCAGCAGGGACTAACTTGTCTGTGCCCCAAGATCACATGCGGGACCTTCAGCGCCACCCTGGGCCTTCCGGAGCTGCACGCAGGCACAGACAGCACAGGTGGAGACCCCGGCCTGGCGGGGCCCATCTGTGTGCGCACCTGTTCATAGCTTAGTGTCAGGTGCTTGCTTTGTGCCTGTTTCTGTTAGTTGCACGGTGTCATCAGCACCCGAGCCCCTCATTTTCACAGCCACTCTAGAGATGATTGCTGCTTTTGTTACCTTTTCTGTTTTACAAAGGTTCCAAGAGGCCAGAGTCTTGGTGAGCTGTCAGCTCCCTACACAGCCTGCTCCTGGCTGCCAGGCCATGGAGCCAAGGCCTGAACGCTCCTCCCTGGGCCCTGGGCACCAGGACGGCTTGGTTGCACCAGGACAGCTTGGTTGCACCACATCTGCCTTGCCTCCACAGCCAGTGTGTCCCTACTCTGTGCCCCAGGGCTCTGTGACATTGCTTCTTGGCTGGCCTGTTCCATGGACCTCAAGGGCCACAGTAGTCCGCTGTTTGGCCTGGAAGGCCCAGGCTTGGGACAGCTACCCAGAGCACCCCACAGGATGGATATGTAGGCCCCAGCCTTGGGAATGTGAGCATCACATTAAAAACCAAGAAAGAAAGACACAGCTCCAGGCTTTTCTCCTGCTTGGAGCTGCAGAGCAGCCACATGCTGAGAGTGCAGCGTTGGGGCTGTGTGGTGCCAAAATAATCAATTGTATTGGATTACAACAGGTGATTAAAACTCAGATGCGCTACAATGCAGATGGGAGCATTGGTTTTTCCTCTGTGCTCCACCTACAGCTCTGATGAGAGTAGGGGCTGACCTAAGAGGCCGTGTGCACGGTCACCACAGGCTGAGGACAGGGTATACCTACGCTAGGATGGACGCAGCAAGTGCTGCATCACCCTCATTGCCCAAGGGCATCCACAAGGCAGGGCTCTGCTTTGAGCTGAGCCTTTGGAGGGGCTGGAGGGGCAGGCAGGGATTGGCATGGCCTCTGTACCTGCAGCACTAGCCTGTATGACCTCCTATTGGCATCTATTCTGCTGGGTGGGACACCAGCTATCTCCCCCTGGGTTTTTTCACTGGTATTTAAACAACCATGATGCCAGATACCTTGCCAAGGGTGTCACCAGTCACCATGCTGTGCCTGCCAGGATATGAGGTCCGGCTCTGCATGTTGCATCCTGAGGCCCAGGCCCCACCGCAGCTCTAGACTCCCTCTGTCCTCACCACTCTGACCTCACTCCATGGAGTCCACCCAGAGGTGGCTGTGATGGCCAGGGTCACCCTGAGCACACAGCACTTACTGGGGAGCCGTGGAGACTTAAATCACCTAGAGTTGAGCTCACCAACAGTGAGATCTCGGGCTCAGCAACTCTCAGCACCCAGATGCTGCAGGTGTCAGCACTTGTGGGCTGTAGGCACATGGCCAAGGCCACCTGAAGGACACTCAGCAAAGCAGGAGGGTCAGTGGGGCCTGTGCAGAGCTTCTGATGTGGCTCCCCTCCACCCGGCTTGGCACATTCACGAATCTGCTGCCTGTAGCCCCGTCGCCAACCTCTACCTGGGCTCTCCCTGAAAGGCCTTGCTCACCAGGACTCTTCTCATCACTGAGATGCCCACAGCTCAGAGGCTTATTGTGGCTCAAGTGGGTAGCCCATGTCACTGGCTCTCAGACAGAAGCAGCCTGTAGCGGGGCTTGGTGGATGGAAAGCTGCTTGTGCCCTTGAGGGGCCAGGGAGTGAAGAGAAAAGGAAGGGTCAGAGACAGTTGAGACCCCATGTGCCTCTCTCTGCATCCTTTGGACCCTGCTGCCCTCTGCTGCTGAGGCTGGTGCAGCCCTGGTTGACAGCCTGCTGGGCTACATTGCAGGGTGTCACCAAAGGTGTCCTGTGTCATCTGGGGAGAGGGATAGGGTCCATGCTGCACTCACTGAGTATCACATTTCTTGCATGCTCCTTGGGGCTGGGTCTCTATCAGGGATGGGGTCACGGGTGGGGATGGCTGGCAGCACCAGGCCCGTGGGACTCAGGCAGCTGGGCCTGCATTGCCTTTAACCTTTAAAGGTTAACAGCATCCAGTTAAAAAGTAATAACTATGAATTAATAAGTATCTAAAGTGCAAACATGAACAAGAATTTGGCCACCCCAGCAGCACCTAGTCCACTACCTTGAAGGGTTCCCTATTTGTGGAGGAGGGATACTGGGTTTTCTGAAGATGCCAATCCTGCTAGGAGACTAAACTAGGAACATTTTCTTGGTGGAGGAAATAAGCTAACCCAGAAGGGATATCAAGTAGCATAGCAATGCACGTGCCCAGGAGGCATGAAGGAGGCCGGCACTGCCATGTCGGGGCATCTGCAGCAGGTGGGAGGCAGTGAGCAGTACATCTGACCCCACTCTGCTGGAGCACCAAAGATGGTTACCCACAGACCCCAGGACCCTGGTGTAGTGTGTGGAGCCGACAAAGCTGGCCCATGCCCTGTGTGCCCCTGAGAGCGGGCTCTTGGGTTGCTTCAGATCCAGCCTTCCTCCTCATGGGGTTTTCTGGATGACCTCAGTCCCACCACCTCCCCACCCCCAATCCACACAGAGAGAGGGAGATCTCCTTTCCCCGGGGAAGGCCCAGGTCCATGCTTCACGCCCACTTGTGTCAGTTAGCAATTCTCCAGAAGCAACTGGGGAAGGCTGCCTGCCTGACTGAGCCTCTCTCCAGGACCTGCGCATGGGACATGCACCCACACATGCAGGGCACTGTGCATGAGAGGCACTAGGACCATCTGTCCCGGTAAAGGGCACTTGCATCTCCTCTGAGAAGCATCCAGTGAGCACTGGAGGATGGGTGTGGCCTTTGTATCCGCCAGGAGCAGGATGCAGCCGGAGGGAGCCGGATGCAGCCAGACTCATCCAGATTTAGCCTGGTTCATTCTCGGCATCTCGGCTTGTACGTTCAGAGCTTGATGGCAAAATTATATTAGAGGAGGTGACGTGACATTGCTGTGCTCTAGGGCTTTGTCTTGAAGGTTCATCTTCCAAAATAGAACACATATGTCCCAGGTTATCCACTGGAGCATTGTAGTTGTTGCAGAACACCAGAAACAGCCGAGACACTCACAAAAAGAAAAGCAGTTAAACAAAAGATGACACATGCCAACGGAGAAGTCTAAAGTAGCCCACAAAACAGAAACACCTAACAGACTGGCCAGATCAGGTACAGAGTGAACACCTAGAGCTGTGGAAATGTATGCAGGCTGTTTCACACAATCGCCTTTCGCCAACAGTCGGCAGGTGTCGTGGTAGCCCCCCGCAGGATGTCAGTCAGCTAGGGACACTGTGACCACAGCGTGAGTCTCTGTGATATAATACACACCGATGCACAGTTCACTCCCCTGCTCAACCTATGGGGAACCTGGGCCCCCAAGCAGCACTGGGCACGTGTCCCTCTCACCCAGTCCTGTTCTGGACCACTGTTCCCCAGCGCTAGGCGC